TATGGCCCCAACCCTCTTGAATGTTTGAACATAAGGATTGTCCGCTAATATCCTAAGAATATTTCTTATGAGGTTGATATCCAGGTCAGGAGATCTCTGTGTCCTATGTGCTAAGGTATCATCTGTATCATAAAAATACAGATTGCATGTGGCGTGGCCCTTTGGAACACGGCACCAAGTGGTCAAGTCGGTGGTACAAGGAACCTTGCACTGGAATGTATAGATACCGAAGGTTCACTGCTGCGGTGGTAACACGACGATCCACACTAACCCCAAGGGTCATGAAAGAGAAATGAGAGTTGAAGTAACGTATGTGTTTTTCGAAATACTTTGCATCAAAGCATCTACGGCTAGTAAATAACTTTTTAAATCAGCCGGCACTTCAGGAATATGCACTTTAACCTTTCCACTTGCTGCAAGCAAAACCACGGCAGTTCATATTCAAACCTGTATGGCCCCACAATTATTCGCAATTAGGCACCTTTTTCAAAAACATGGTGCCGGATGCGGTATATCATGGTAGACGTAGTCGTATGGATCATCGGCGTCGATTACCAGCAACACCATTGGCATATATAAGGTATGACTCATATCGGTCATCTCGCATGAGAGTTATGAAGTGGTTCTGAACATGCGTGGTAAAATTAATATTATATATATATATATATATTTAAAAACACAATGATTTATGGTCGACGTGGGGCGATACCTTTCCTATGGAATTGCCTAGCTTCGTCGTCATCGCTATGATGTTCCATGTCTTCCTGGGGATCTGTTGCATGGGCAGCACGTGGTATGTTAAAAACTAACTCTTATGCAGTTATGTTTGTGTCATTAAAAAGCAACCCACCTCCTTCGTCATCAGATTCTTGTATCTCGTTGTTTGCCGGCTGGAACAAGGTAGTGTCATATTCATCTACCCGATCGATGTTTGCATGTAACGTGCGAAGAGCTGGTGTCCCATCTGTATAGTAGTTATTATAAGTTAAAGTTATATAATTAACATCAGAAATTTACATATATGAAACTATGGATTGGAAGAAAAATGAATCAAGCAACTTGTGGGCTGGGCATTGCTGCTTGGAGTATGCTGAATGGACTGATGTGCAATATTTCTCCTGTGCCTTGTATAGCCTCGCATTTTATCCAATAATTCTTGTTTTATCGATTCTTCAAGATTGTTGTACCTTTCTCTATTTCTCCGCAATTGATTGGCACTTGAACTGGATTCTGTTTAATCATTTGGTTGATATGGTGAGATATAAATAAATCGTAAAAATGGAAAAAAGCATCATTAGTAGGTACTATAAAATTCCAGTTATTGTTTCACCTAGATCCTGAACCATCTGAGCAGACGGCTCCATTGCGATATCCCCACATACTTGTTGCCTTGGTCTGATGTAGTTATCATTTCGACGCATAACCATTCGAAGCATCGCATGGGGTTTGATTTTCTTTGTCCTAAACCGAGGTTGGGCCAGTAAAAATTCCGGAATTCCCCGTCTGAAATGGTGATTCCTGCACTCCTTGAATTGACGTACATAGGGTCATATTAACGTCAATAGAATTCATGTTTGGGGCGGAAAAATATCCTTCGTTAATTGGTTGTAGAACGGCTGATGTCGTTGTCCCATAAGTTGGATATTTGTCTTGTTGTTGAAGTAATAAGACAAGGTCGATAAGTAATATTAATAATAAAAGATAGCAATCGGATGACTGCAAAGAGCATTCTTTAGCTTTTGGCTGATCTGGTGCATTAGGAGGTGCCGTTGTTTGTGCATTTCACCGAGCACGGTAGTCTCGCTGGTACTCCCGCTGCCTCTGATTTCTCTCCTCCCTTTGCTCGCTTGTTTCTTGAGCCCTAATCCTAGCGCGGTACTCACGTTGTTTTCTATTCCTTTCCTCTCTCCTGTGTTGTTCTTCGCTGCAAGCTGTTGACATGGCCTTGTTTATTTATATACTTTTATAGATGATGGCTTATATAAAAAATATGAGTGTATGAAAATACCTGGAGTAGGTATGTTCGTTACATCGCTGAGCGCAGTGCGGCCTTCTCCTGGCGTCCCCATTTTGCCGTCAAGGGCTAGTAATAATAATATAATAGATATGTCCATTAGAACCATGATATATCTTGCCGCCCGTGGTTATTTGAATACTGACATCTGAACCGCCTAAATGCTAATCTGAACCTCTGTATTTGAAGATGACAAATTTTCCTACCGTACTTGCTACATCTCTGAACATCTGAACCGCCTCGGCAAGTGACCGATAGTACTTCGGAAAAAAATCTGCATTTTGTAGTTTCATATATACTATGATCAAAAGTAAAGATAAAAAAATTCATGTACCCTATACGCATCTATACGTATATACGCAGTTAGGTGTATGCATGTGTTCAGATGTGATCTCAGAACAAAGACAGGAGCTGGGCATGGAACATATATACGGCAGCATGGATCCATCTCGGCGGCAACATGTTTGACGATCGAAGTATACAGGCGTACCTGATCTCCTCGCTCGTGACCACCTCGCCGACATCGCGTCCTCCTCGCGCGCGCGATCGTAGCGGCCGTAGGAGACGATGATCGCGGCAGGAGCGAGACGTATGCGACGGCGCGGTGCACCCTGATCCTCGCTCGCGACAACCTCAGCGGCCGCGTGTGCGTTCACCGCCTACTCACCTCCTCCGCCGACAGCGGTAGGAGTAGCAGCGCCTCCTCCGCCTCCGTGCGTGTCCGGGAAGTTCCGTGATTTTTGGCGGCGTGGCGTTCGTAATACTCGGTGGGGGCTGCATGACGTGGTTGTGGGGGAGAATGAGGAGATTTGATACACTCAATCCAGGCCCTCGATTGTGTAATGAGTAAGGAGAGAGAAGGCTTAGAGTGCATCTGGACGGTTCGTTTGAAATGTGTTGTTTTCCTGGGTACACTTTTTGGGGTGGACTTAGAGGGGACATCTCAGCGAGGGGTCGTTTTCTTGTGTGGACGTAGGAAAGAAAAGATGGTGCATTAGTAGGGTAGATAAAAAAACTAGTTGGAGATATCACTACGGGCTTGTTAACGGCCAGATGTCTGGACGCTCGCGCCTAAAGCTATTTCCCATGCCCATGCGGAACCCGCACTGCTCCGAACGTCAGCTAGCATTGAGAAAAGGGTGCGGGGAGAAGCGGATGGCAGGAGGAGGAGACACCGAGACGAGGCAGCAGAAAAACGAGGAGAGAGATATAATATCTGATCTATTTTTAAAATATCTAAATGCAACACTTGAAACATTAGTCTGAAACACTTGCAAAAACACGTAAAAACACTTAAAAACCATTTGAAAACATACGCAACATCTAAATAAAACACTTGCAACATATGTGTAAAATATATGCAACATCCAAATAAATACACTTGCAAAATACGTCTAAAAAAATAGATGAAACATTGGAAACAAAAGTTTGCAATATATATGTACAACCATTACAACATATGTAACATCCCGATCTACTTTTGTAGCATCCGCAAAACACATTTACAACATATCTTTGAAACATCTGAAACAATCGAAACATACACACGCTTGCAACATGCACTTTCAGCACAATGTCACCTTGTTGCTTGAAGCGAATGGGCGTTAAATGCGTTGCGAGCTCGGCGTCGTAGCGGAGATCGGTGGCGGTGCATGGAGAACGCCGGTGCAGCAGCGCGCACGGGCCTCCTGCGATTCTCCAACGCGCTGCTCGTGGCCTTGTTGTTGCTACTCTCAGCGCCTTGCTGCTCGCTTGATCGCGATCGTCTAGCGTCATCCGCTCGCAGGGGATGGGGAGCGGCGCAGTTGGTGTTGGGGTGTGGCATGGTGGGGGAAGGGCACGGCACGATGCCACGACGGGGGACGAGGCGTGGTGGGGGAAGGGGTCGCAACGGGCAGACGGATGAGCGGCTAGGAAATGCTTAGCCAGGCCACGACGGACGGATGAGCGGAGTGGGGAATTTTTTTTTTTGAGAGAGAGAGAGAGAGAGAGGCCGGTTCGCTGCATAGGACTGGGAGCCACGTCCGACGGAACAGTCATCCGTGGCGTTTCTAATGTAACTAACATATTGTGTTATATTACTTTACCTTTGATTCGGATGCTTCCTTATTTTTGTTGGCACAACTTTATTTCTTGTCATGTCAATTTTTTGTTGGTATCTGTGACAATAAGTTTCATCTAGATGAAATTTTATGGGACTTCTCTCTTTATAATTAACATGTCAACTCAGCAAATTGCTGATATGTCACAACATTAGATGAGAAACTCCTTTGAAACTTCAATTGAGACTTCGTGAAAGTTTCATGTCCCGTTTCCACAACTTCAAGAACAAATGTTGAATACAAAGCTTTTGCCTTCTCAAAGAGGATCGACAGCTCTTTTCCACACCCACATAGGCTTTTCTGTCTCTTGCCTGTGCTGTGCTTATCCTAAAACTTGAGTTCCCTCTTTGGGAATCTCACTGTTTCACCTTGCTTGTTGGCTCCACCCAACATTTCCCGTAAATGAAAGTAGAAGTATCTGTTTCTCTTTCTTGTTTTTGTCGCCAAAATTTGTGCATCTCAAAGAGGGTAACGACATATACAAGTGGCATATATACAACTCCCACATTTACCATGCATATTGCTAAGTTTTCTTTGCAATTTATTGTAGTTGCAACATCAAAGGTATGGTGCAGATAGATACAATGATATAACATCTCCCGTAAGACGAGGCACAAACATATACTCCCTCCACTCAAATTGTAAGTCCTGTCTTTTATAGATACATACTATTTTTTATTGTGTATCTAGACATAATGTATATCTAGATGCATAACAAATGCTAAAATAATTATTTACAATTTGAAATGGAGGGAGTATTGGAAACAAAACACTTGAAACTACCAGTTTGATGTAACATTGAACACAACGAGTCATTGGCATAATTGCTCATTAATCATGTGAATCTTGCCAATTCCCCAAGGAAGGCTTCAACGTGCTCTTCCCTAACACAGCGGGTGACCATGTTGGGCCCATTCTTCCCTTTCCATGGCAGGCACACCACGCAGGATGGCAGTCATGTGTGGCACACGGGCACGGCACATCACCCTCACCGGCTTCCTGCCGCCAACTTCAACCTCGTCGAGGCCGATGTTCCTCATGCTTGACACGCTCAAGAGGTTGTAGTTGTACCGAAGCATGTCCTCAGGCTGCGGCTTCGAAGCCTGCGGCTTGTCGTCGCCGCCACCACCACCATCGTTCCGCTTCAGCTGTTTGGTGATCTGCTCCTTGGCATGCCTTATCATCTTCACTATGTCCAAGATGGGTCCGTTCACCACCGAGCCGCTCGTCGCGACGACGAGCTGCCCAGTGACACAGTTACCATAGTAGCCATCCTTGGCCCCGACGTGCTTGCGGACATTGGCTACAATGAACAGCAGGGAGGGGGCTTCTGGATCAGAGATGACCACACGAGTGCGGCACTGCCATAGCACAGCGGTCACCGCTTCGAACACAGTGCATGGCTGGCCACCATTCGCATGTGGCCATGGAACTCGGCTTTGATGCTGTTGATCAAACTCGAAGGCACGGTGTACTCCAAGCAAGCGAAGTCCCTTGGCGCCAGGCCCATCATGGACCGCTGCGCCTAAGCGATCACCGGAGGGAGAGCCGGCAGCGAGCTGTCGCACCAGGTTGGGACGACAGACGGTGCCGGCAGCCCGCACGCCAGCTCGCCGACGGCCTGCAAGAACTGGGCCATCCTAGCGCCGTCGGCAATGGCGTGGTTCCATGTGACTCCGGCCACAAAGCCACCACAGGAGAACACGGTCACCGGGTAGTAGACAGCGAGGTCGTCTGGTAGCATCGTTGCACCAGATGAAAGGCCGAAGAGTTTTGCTTCCTTCAGGGCACAGTCCGCGGATGCATCCACGAAGACCACGCCCTCGCCGTTGCATTCGACACGAGCCTGGCCGCCGCCGGCTCCCGGGGCAAGGCGCCCGGCGATGGGGTGGTAGTAGGCAAGGGCACGGGAGAGGCCCCTTCTTATGGTCTCGGCAGGCTCGTCGATTGGGTGCTCGAACACGAGGAAGCATGTAGCTGGCATGGCACTAAAACCCTTGTCGAAGGATGAGAGGTCTATGCTACTGGTAGTCGTCTTCATCTCCAGCTCCTCCGACGATGGCCGGATGAGCTGCGGCAAGGATTTCCTAACCACGGAGCTCATTGTTTGCCGTGTAGTCTTTTTTCTTCTTTTCTTGCTGGTTGTACTGTGAGGACTTTATATATAGCTGATGCTGTTCTTTGGATATATATATATATATATATATATATATATATATATATATATATATATATATATATATATATATATATATATATATATATATATATATATATATATATATATATATATATATACATGTTAGGAGCATGAACTGGTGGTGGTTGGTTCACAAGGTTTGTGTGTGCTGGGCTATTGCCGTGTGGACTACAATATCTAACATGCATTTACACGGGAATAACAGATTGGAGACCCGGCCATCAGGAGTTCTTGTTACAACAGATTATATATCATCTAAGAGCTACATAGATCGCCTATAATTAACAAACTCTAGAGCTCCTGGTCGGTTGCTTATCTCAAGTTGTGACACAGTTACAAGATAAACACGCATAGCATAGCCTTATCTTCTAACAGAAACCAACTTGTTTCCGTGAAAATGTTGAATTCCTTCTTCTCGAAATGATAATAAAGAACACTGAGTTGACAAAACAGTATTTTCCTTTGGAATACTAGAATTTTTTTTGTTTCCTACATTTTTCTTGCGAAAATAAACTTTCCTATGAAATTCCTCCATTCAACGTAGTATTCATGAAGCAATTTTGTAGGGTTATAAACCTGTAAGAATTGTTGCTATGTGGCCCTTTCATTTGGAACAAATGGTTGGCCATCCTGAAATCCAATAAAATTCCTACGAAATGGCTCAAACCATAGAAGTTTTGGAGGAAATCTAACATGAGGTCCAAACTCTTGAAAACTTCCCTTTGTCTCTATTTCTCTCTTCTCCCAGTTCCTTTAGGATAGCAGTGAAGTGCAACTCCATTCTTATGTTTTTCTTATTTCTGCATTTTAGATATCCCACATTTCAAACATGCCCTAAAAGGTTTTGCACAACAAACCCTGTGTCAATGTTTCACCATCGATAGCTTGCCACGGGGATACCGGGACAGTTTGTTCGGGCTTCGGCGTATGCAGAACTCGACGGTAAACGCAAGAGACAGTCAATTTATCCTGGTTCGGGCCCTCGACCGTGATCGAGTAATAGCCCTACGTCCAGTTGGCGTTAGCCTTTGCATTGGATTGATTGTCAAGTGTTCTTCTTTCCTCCAGGAACCCCGCCCTCCTTTATATAGTCAGGAGGCCAAAGTCCTAGTCGGTTTACAATGAGATATCCTAGTAGGATTACAGAATAATACTACTACTTAGATTACATGGAAAAAATCCTAGTTAGACTAGATCTTCTCCCTTCCTTGAGGGGTATCCCGTGGGTCCCGCATCGACAAGCCCTCGAGCACTTCATGGTTGAGCTCTGGAAGCCTCGTCTTGTTCCTTCAGGTCTTGCCGAGCAGAAACAAACGTCGTCCGAGTGCTTTCTTGAGCGAAACCGTGTAGCGCTTCGTGAGATCTTCGGGTGGTGTGTACCTTTTTTTAAGAAAAAGTACTCCCATCTGGGTGTAGCCCCCGAGCCTCTTGCTATTTGGAACAAGGAGCTGGAGGGTTTTGTCTTGAAATTGCTCTGATTCTTCATCGAATATACCCGGGTTCTTTATAAAAAAGAACTCGGATATAGCTCTGTCCGTGTTCCTTTTGTCGTGAGGCCTTGAAGTGGTCTGTCTTGAAGAAGTCTTCTTGGTGACGTGCGCTTTTTCGAAGAAAAAGGTGCACTCACTGAGTGTAGCCCCCGAGCCTCTTGCTATTTGGGACAAAAAGTTGGAGGGTCTTGAATCTTATGTTGTTTGAAAACTCCTGTCTTGAAAAAGTCTTCTGAGTGATGTGCGCTTTTTTGAAGAAAAAGTGCACTCACTGAGTGTAGCCCCCGAGCCTCTTACTATTTGGGACAAAGAGTTGGAGGGTCTTGAATCTGAGTTGTTCAAAGAACTGAAAACCTCTCCTGTTGCAGCCCCCGAGCATATATCTGGGTTCTTTTACTCTAAAAGAACTCGGATACAGGGTCTTGGCATATTCTCTGGTAGTAAAAACATCTTAGGATCGGTTCGGGTGTTGGCTTATCAGCTACCCTCATCGGCAGGCTTAAGCATCTTTTCAGCTTTTTTGTTCACGGCCGATATGCTCAGGCGTAGTTTCAGTCATTTTGCTTTTTGGTTTGGGTGTTAGCTTATTAGCTACCCTCATCGGCGGGCTCAAGCATCTTTTCAGCTCTTTTACTCTCGGCAGGTATGCTCAGGCATAATTTCAGCCATTTTGCTTTTTGGTTCGGGTGTTAGCTTATTAGCTACCCTCATCAGCGGGCTTAAGCATCTTTTCAGCTCATTTGCTCTCGGCTGGTATGCTCAGGCATAATTTCAGCCATTTTGCTTTTTGGTTCGGGTGTTAGCTTATTAGCTACCCTCATCGGCGGGCTCAAGCATCTTTTCAGCTCTTTTGCTCTCGGCCGGTATGCTCAGACATAATTTCAGCCATTTTGCTTTTTTGGTTGGGGTATTAGCTTATTAGCTACCTTCATCGGCGGGCTCAAGCATCTTTTTAGCTTTTTTGCTCTTGGCCGGTATGCTTAGTGAAAACAACTGGGGGAAAGCCATAATAAGACATATGTTGTCGAGGAACACCATCTTTATTGATCATGAACGTTGATATGCCTAGTGAAAACAACTAGGGGAAAGCCATAATAAGACATATGTTGTCGAGGAACACCGAACATTGATCTCTTGTGGCTTGTATATATATTGTTCCTTGAATTGTTTTCATGCGTAGAATCTTCTTAGTTGGCTGATGTGCCATGTATTGTTGACTTCTTTTCCATCTTCAGTTATCAACTTGTACGTGCCTAGTCTGGTGACTTTTGTGACAATAAAAGGACCTTCCCATGGACTGAGTAGTTTATGGCGTCTGTCAGTTTTTTGTATTCATCTTAGTACTAGGTTTCCGATTTGGAGTGATCGAGGCTGGGTATTCTTGTTGTAGTGGCGTCTTAAACCTTGGAGGTATCTAGCTGATTGAAGGGTAGCGTTTACTCTTACTTCTTCTATACTGTCGAGTTCTAATATTCGGATGTGTTCTGCTTCTCCTTCGTCATATTGTTCTATCCTTGGTGATGTCCAGATCAAGTCGGCAGGTAGTACGGCTTCTAATCCATAAACTAGGAAGAAAGGTGAGTATCCGGTGCCTCTGCTTATTTGAGTCCGTAGCCCCCATACTACTTTGGATAATTCTTCAATCCATTTGGATCCATAGTCCACTAGTTCTTCATACAATCTTGGTTTTAATCTGGCTAGTATGAGTCCATTATCCCTTCTACCTGTCCGTTGGCTTCTGGATGTGCGACTGATGCGTAATCTATGCTGAAGCCGCAATCATGTGCCCAACTTTGGAATTCTATAGTTGTGAAGGAAGAACCTAAATCTGTGATGATTCGATTGGGCATGCCGAAGCGGTGCATAATGTCTTGGATGAATTCGACTGCTTTGGCCGCGTTGTATTTTGCGAGTGGTTTGTATTCAATCCATTTGGTGAACTTGTCAATTGCTACAAAGATGTACTTGAAACCGCCCTTTGCTTTCTTGAGAGGTCCTACTTGATCCAGCCCCCAGCAGGAGAAAGGTCAAGCGAGTGGGATGCAGATGAGATTGTGAGCTGGTACATGAGCTTGTCTTGCGAACATTTGACAACCTTTGCATTTTTTGACGAGTTCTTCTGCGTCTTTCAAAGCGGTTGGCCAGTAGAATCCGATGCGGAATGCTTTGCCGACTAGTGTTCTTGAAGCGGCATGATTTCCACAACAACCTGAGTGTATTTCGTCTAAGATCTCTTTGCCTTTTTCAAACGAGACACATTTTAGGAGTACTCCTGATGATGCGGCTCTTCTGTACAGCTTGTTCTCTACTAGGACGTAGTTCTTGCTTCTGCGAACAACTCGGGTAGCCTCCTCTTTATCTGCTGGCAACTTATTCTCTTTGATATAATCAATAAAAATCTGGGTCCATGAGGTGGTGATTACCAAAATCTAGGTGCCTTTAGCTGGGAGTTCAGGGGTTATCTCACCGGGTTGTTTGACAGAGGGAGCTGATAACTCCTCTATGAATACGCCGGGTGAGACCTTCACCCTGTCTGATCCGAGCTTGGCGAGGACATCTGCTGCAATATTAGAATCGTGCAGGATATGTAGAATTTCTAATCCTTGAAAATGTTTTTCGAGTTTTCGTATTTCAGCACAGTAAGCGCCCATATTTTCTTTGGTGCAGTCCCAATCTTTGTTGACTTGGTTGATAACTACTGCCAAATCGCCATATACGAGTAATCGCTTGATTCCGAGGGTAATTGCCACTTGGAGCCCGTGGATGAGGGCTTCGTATTCTGCTTCATTGTTTGTAGCTTGCCATAATATCTGAAGGACATACTTAAGTTATTTTCCATCTGGAGAAATGAAGAGAACGCCTGCACCGGCTCCGTCTAGCTTGAGTGATCCATCGAAGTACATCTTCCAATGGTCAAGGATGGTATTTGACATAGGTTGTTGAATTTCTGTTCACTCGGCAATAAAATCGGCAAGGGCTTGAGATTTAATTGCCTTTCATGGGGTGAAATCGATATTGAGAGCACCAAGTTCAACTACCCACTTAGATATGCGCCCTGTTGCGTCTCTATTGTGTAGGATGTCTCCGAGTGGGAAATATGTCACCACGGTAATCTTGTGGCTTTCAAAATAGTGGCGAAGCTTGTGTGAAGTGATCAGGAGGGCGTAGAGTAGTTTTTGCACACGCGGATACCAGATTTTTGATTCTGACAGTACTTCGCTGATGTAGTATACGGGGTGTTGTACTTTATATACGCGCCCTTCTTCTTCTCTTTCTACGACTATTGCTGTGCTGATCACAGTAGAAGTTGCCGCAATGTACATCATCATGTCTTTGTATTTCTTTGGACGCGTGAGAACGAGCGAGGAGGTGAGGTATGCCTTAAGTCTTTTGAAAGCTTCGTTGGCTTCTTCT